TTACATTCATATATTGCTTGCTCTTCATTTACGTACCTTGCCTGTGGTCTTCCCTAACACATCTGTGAATTGTAAGTTTAATCGGTTCACTAATCCTTGCGTCGGATTATCCAGTTTGTTAAGTATAGCAAGGATAGGGGCGCCTTTGAATGCAGGATTTATCAAGAGGCTTTCCAGGAAATCTTTATCCTGCGCCCACTGATCGTCTCGAGTGCAATCAACCACGTATATTACTCCATGTACCGCCTTAAAGAGCTTCTGCCAAGCACAGCGTCCTGGAACACAGAATTTCATTAACTCGGAATCAACAACATTCCAGATAGCGTCAAAACTTTAATTTGCTTACCTATGGCATGGAAATTCTAAAATATTTCAGTTTTTGTTTTCATTTAAAGATATTTGCTATTTACATTTAAAAGAGAAGTTAGTTCAGAAAAATTATAATTCAACCATCCATAACACAGCAGATTATGAAAACCATAACTGAAAGACTGATTCAGGGACTAGAAGTTTTAAACACTAGATACTTATTGTAATTAAACTTTTTAAAATGGAAATAACTTTCTTTCACTTACCTTTAGAATCGCCTTTCATGTCATATACTACATATTCGTTTTCATTTATTATGATTCTTGTCTCTTCTGCCCCTATACAAATAAAAACAGAAATATAGCTATTTCAAAATGAACACTTTCTAGCTTAGTTTATGTAATTAAATCCACACATCAGAGTCCTTTCATGCAAAGCTAACAGTCAATCAGGAAATAGCACCTCTTTTATGTTCACAAGAGGCTGCCACTTGGCCCCTCAATCCAGTCCATATTTTCTATGTTTGCTATGCCTAGCCCACAACCTTCTTGATTTGATTTCTGATCCCTACTAATACCAGAACCATATTTGCAAGGGTTTTACAGAATGAACCCTGAGATGTCTGGAATGGCATTTTGCAATAAAAAATTTATTGCCAGCAGAATAATTGGCTTATTTACGAACCGCCATTTCACATCCTCAAAAATAACCACAATTAAAAATGCTACTGCTCTGAAACAACTGTTTTGTTCCTGCTCCACTTTTACTGATACCTAGCTATATTTTGCGGAAATGCCAACCTAACAGTGCAGTTCTATTGTAAAACAAATGTAAAAGAAAATTTAATTCCGAGTCCTTCCATATTACTCTAATAACCACTCCTGCCTTGAAATAGCTACTTAAAATTAAATACAGGAAGATTCCATAGCCTCTGTGCTTCTGTATGAATACAAATATATTGAGTAGGCAAATTTTATATATAATAGAATGGAATATGTATTGGACAATATTTTCTGATTACCGTAGAATAACACCAAGAACTGTGCAAAATAGTTCCTCTGTTATATTTTAGTGGCTATAAAATAATTCCACTCACAAATTTTCAGATACCACAGAAATGCTGTCAGCACAATGAATTAGTTTAAGCTATAAGAAACCAGTTCAAGCATGTTTGATAGGGCTGGTGAAAATAATATGAAACTGGGTAAAATGAATCCACAGTTCATCAGATATTCTACATACTTCTACAACAGCTGTATATCCATTTTCAATACAACTGCATTACATTACATTGCCGTGTTAGAAAATGTTTTAAGAAACAATATTAAAAAGATGTTAACAGCATCTGTTGCAAACAGTTTCAGTTCGACGGATAAAAAGTTGCACTTTACATCTTACATTAAAACTAGCACTTAACAAAACTTATCCAACTTCCTAGACATCCATGCATTTATTATATGGAGACAGTCCTCTGCTGAGAGACTGCAATTAATCTCAGAAAATTAAGGAAGGAGGTGAACAAAGTGTCATGAAAGAGGTAAGTTTCACTTCTCATAGGCATGCTGCTTACTTTAATGCAATCTCCAATCAAAAGTGCAGATATCTGCACCCTTCATAAGGTGCACTAAGGATGATTTCCCCACTTCAGGTAATCCAACCACAAGAATTTTTCTGGAATCGTCTAATCCTGTGAAAACCACAGAACATATATCATATATCAAATCATCCATCCATGGGCTAAGGGCTCCTTCCAATAGCTGCCATAATAACGTTGTCTTTCCATTTTTTCCACTCCTAAAAATGCAAACCTACACTTCTGATGCCATAAACCTTTTATAACAGGAAAAAAAAATTGACAGTGGAACCACGGTTCCGGAGAATCTGACGTAAATACATCTATACGGAAAGGAAGTTTATATATTAGCTTTAATTACGGCATTAACAGCAATGCCGAGTAAACAGAAGACGTTTCCTAGGTAACATAACAATGCATGCAAGCTGACCATTGTTGTCCATCCATATTAACACGTTTTCCTTTCACTTTTTTGCCGAATGATCCTTCCGTATAGACGTATTTACGTCAAAAAAACAACCCAAAATTTGTAAGACCTAAGTTTTGGTTATGCAGTATGATTCTATTGTATAAACAAATATCCTTACATGAAAGTATTCTATCAATAAATATTAATGTGTTTTATTGGCATTGTGAACTGATGTGCTAGAAGCGCATATGGGTTTCGATTAGATCTACATGCTAAGA